AGACTGCCTAATGGACTAGGCATACTATTTGTTGGTATCCTCGGAAAGGTTGTATACCCGAAAAATGTCCAAGAACCTTTGTGAGTTTTTCCCGTAGTTACTGCAGGATACCTTTTCAATGAAACCTCTACCCGTCTTCCATTACACACCTGGAAATGCAGGTTGCAATGGTAGCACAGATAGTCTGTACACCACCTTTTAGCAAGATATATAGAGACAGAATATTAACTTGCTCATAATACCATAGAATCATAGAATATCTCAGGTTGGAAGGGAAACGTAAGGATCATCAAGTCCAACTCCCTGCTCCTCACAGGATCATATGGATACCATATGCATATGGAAATTCTGTAATATTGAAAAAGCGTGTGTTCAGTAGGGTTGAGCCAGGCAAATATGCAATAGTAAACAACAATAAACCAAAAAAGAAATGTTCACTCTTTGAATAACAGGCTCTACTACAAGACAGTCTTTGACATCCTTGACTATAAGGCTGTTGCCTGTCTCCCTCGTTACTACTCATACCACTCTCCTCCTCCACTACACTTTGCTAGAAAATTCTCCATTTTCTTTTCATCCTAACTTTTTCTTCTATGGCTAACATTTTCTAGTAATAGCTATCTAGGAAAGCCCTCTGAGTTTGGATCAGGACTTTCCCCTTTCTCCTTCCACAGCTAGGTACCTATTTCAACAACCATTTTTAGCTTCTGCCAAGTGTAAATTCATACCCATGAAAAAATAAAAATAGACTTTTTTCCTTACAGTGGGACAAGTCATCTTTGTCCAGATTTTCATTATAATCTTTTCTTATATAAATCAGAAATGAAATCACAAAGCTTTTCCATGTTACTCAAGCCTTTTGTGTGTAATGCACAGAACCACTAAGTAATTTTACCTTTAAGTCATAGCTAGAGAGTTTTCTAGCACAAAGTTGCAGGAAAACACAAATAATTTGGAATACAAGAATTATTTCTCATTTAAAGGTGCTCTTGCAGCTCAAGGGAAGCCAACTCATTATTAGAAAAGTCATCATTAATATTTGTTTATTATAACCTTGCCCAAAGATTGTTTGTGTAGCATGCCTAGAGAAAATCATGGCATCCCTGGGGTATGCTAGTCCCTGAACAGTGACGCTGTTGATGTCATTCACTGGCACCTTCCTCGTGGCATCACTGGAGGATGTATGATCCTCTTGCATCATACTCTTTTCAGGATTCAGGTATTAATTAATACTTTGAGTCATATTAGCCCCAACAGTAAAACTCTCTGTGCAGTCATTAGTAACAGTTCCATTCAACTCCACTCCTGATTTCAGAGAAAATGTGACCCAGCAGATTTAAGAAGACTTAAATTTCAGATAATTCAGCTTCACTACATAAAGTTTACAAAATGCCAGCATAAAGATAGTCCTTGAAAAAAGAAGAAATAGAAATACATATGGAAGGTGAAGAAATTCTCTTAGTAGAAAGTAATAGTTCAGATGCAGGAGATAATAAGTGAGTGTCTCCTGTGTATAAAAATTATCTAGAGGAAGGTTTAAAATCAAAAGTCATTGAAAGCTCTAATATAAATCTGGGATAACTACAAATAGAAAAGCCAGTATAAATATCTGAGCCATTAGGAGCTCTTAAGGTCAGGTGAGAGCACAAAAGAAACCAACATGAAGTGATCCAAAATTAATAACCATGTAGAATATGAGTCAGCAAAGAGATCTGACTAGGACTGAGATTAATAAAAGGGTATTTTTCCCCTTAAGTAATGTTTTTTAGGCCTTTTCCTCCTTTATTTTTTTTAGTCAGACTAAGCCCCTGGGTACAAGAATATACATCAGAAATACATTTTTTAAAGAAACAACAACAGAATTCCCCAGAACAGCTAACCTTGATAATGGTTGAGAAAAATGTCTGAATCAGAAATCAGAAGCTAAATCCAACAATGAAAATAATGTTGAAAAGCTTAATCGACTTAATACTAATTAAAATAGTATTAAAAAGCTTAAGTCAGTTTTATTTATTTGAGAGGTTATACTCATTTTTGAATGCATTGGCTTTGGCTGTGTCTGGCATTTGATACAAAACAAAAAGTAAGTTTTCTCAGGAACCATCTATGACCAACCACCCCTAGAAAGCTGTTCTGAAGAAACTGGTTTCGATAAATTTTTATTTTTAAAATGTATGTATTTTTAAAAAAAACTAAAAGAAAAAAAAAAACTAGGGTATATAGAGAGAATTTAAATACCATTCCCTTAAAAAAATGCAGTGTGTTACCGAATATTTATATATATATAAAATTAGGATTTTTTTATATATATACATAATTAGGACATAAAAAGTACACAAAGTTCACAGAAAGTTTTGGCAAGGCAAACATCTGAAACCTGACAACCTCTGTAAGACAGCTCCATCCTTCTTGAACTGGAGTAGAGGAATGTTTCAATAGGTCATTTCAATCACTTTGCTTATGTATGTGTTGTAATCATGTAATTAATCTTTGTAAATTCTGGTGATTCCCAGGCATTAAAAAAAAGTAATTAAAAAAAATTTTAGAGATGTTCCAACACTGTGTTGTATCAATTCCAACATTGATCAGTATTTAAAGGATGGCAAATCAAATTCAGTTGTGTGAAGGGGGGGGGGAGGGGAGAGCATGGATCTAAGTTATTTCCACCTGTTTGGGGATGAATTTCACTCTGCATGAAGTGGCAAAATCGATAAAGATGTCATGAAGAAGTCTTGCTGACACACATCCTGAAATGATGGCATGCAGCTAAAAATAATAAGTATTGTACATTCACTGCAGCACTGCCAGTAATGGCAACCCCAAGCATTAAAGACATCATGAGTCACATCCTCCAAGATAATAAAATTGGTTTTAAAGTCATAAGGCTTTAGCCACTAATACATCTGGAGGACTTTTTATTTGCCTTCAAGATGCATTGACTTGATCATTTAAAATTATCTGAGAAGTTCTGAAGACTGCAAGACTTCTTTTTTTAAAAAAAAAAAAAAAAAGAGCAACTGGACTGAAGGAACATCCTTCCCCTAATTTAATCTTCTTTTACGTCAGGGAACTGAATCATATTACCCTTTTCAAAAAGTGACCATGGGCTTGCCTAAAATGAGGTAGGCACCCTTCTTCTTCCATGCTCACAGAAAAACTGTTCTGGAATCTTTTCTAAAGTAAGCATGAGATACTTATTTAATTTTCTTAAAGTTTTAAGATCAAACCACGACAGACACACACAAACCCCTACATTAACCTTGAGTCTCAAGAAAATATAAGATTTGGCTGTGATAACTTAAAACGATCAGACTTATATGGGTTGATGGGAAAATGGTGGACAAACTGATGTGTTCACAAAGGTCTGCAAATGACATAATATTTTGCAATAATAACACAAAGTCCACAGAGTGCTACATAAACACATGCCCACCGAGTTAAAACAGGAAAACAAACAAAAACATCATATCTATTTTATGCTCATTTGACTGAAGCAGAGAAGCTTTGGCCCAGACAATACTGATGTACGTTACATATTAGGGAAGCTATGGGAACTAGAAGAGTGAACTCCTGCTAAGAACAAAAGGCAGGAAAATGGGTACCTCCTGTGGTACCTATGCACAGACAATGGACTAAGCAACATTTCATCATCTACAAGAAGGCTAGTCCTCAGGATAGCACACAGCAACGGTTTCACTCTTGGACTGATTCTTCAGCTGCATGAAACTGTACTGATAAAAGGACTGCTTGGGTGGGACTCATCTCCCCCAACTTTACATATCTACAATGTAGACGTTTACATTGAGGCTCCTCTAATAGAGAAAGAGAGAAGTAAGTACTTCTGGGCTGTGGTTCATCCCATTTTAAAGTCTTATTCAGAACATGTCAGGTCAATCCTGACTGAGAAGTGCCTGTTTTATTCCACTGAACAAAAAAGGAGCTTAGGACGACCAGCTGAGTAGATGTCTACAGCTGGGTGAATTAATCCCTCTTTCTTCTCTTTTTCACTTTAAATGACACATCCAAACTTATCTGCAAGTCTATGTAGATATGTAATTGCCCAGGGAATCCCAGTCTACTGTTCCATCCTTTAAACCTATTTCTAATAGCTCTACACTGTAAAAAGCATGTTTATGAATTCATCTGGATCCCCCCATGCATGTTTGGTCAGTATCTCCTGAAAAGCACTCTAAACTCTTATACGAGTCAGAGTGATGTGAGTAGGAATCATAAAAAGCAATTACCCAGGTTTGGTGTCTTACGAGATAGAACAAAAAGGGACTGCTGGCAAAAGCACTTTAAAGAAATAGCTACTCCATATTTAAAGCACAAAGAATCATGAGGTTACAATGCAGCATGGTCTTCACACTAACAGTTCAGCGTTAACTCTGCTGATACAAAACATGATTGAAATACAGATTAAATTAGCAAGTCAGAAATAGAATAGGTATGGAAATGAATCTGATTCACACATGGCTACATTTGTTGAAGGAGAAGAATTAGTTGCAACCATCAAGAAAGACTAACTAAAAAGACGAAGAAATCAAATATTAACAGATGTAGTTAACAATAATACCAAAATGAACATCATGACTTCAAAGGGACCATTATTTTTAAATCACTTTTTAAAAAAGCTGTACTTCTGGTTTCCCCAAGGTCACTACTGACTGTAGAGTACAGTGAACTTCAAGTCATAAACATTCATGTGCATCACTTAGAGGAATATTTTCCAATCTATTTATAACTTGATTCGTTACTTGGCCATGGTTCCTAATCTGTCCGTCAATATTATAAGCATCTGCCCTATGCCAACGAACTAATGAGTTCATTTTCTACCATAAAGTCACGAGCCATCTTTCTACATGTCATGTCCAGTACACATCAAGCTGACAGTGCCCGTAAGTGTATAGGCAGCAAAAATAACAATAAAAGCATGTTTCAATAATAAATAAAGATTTTTTTTAAATGCTAAATAGAAAACCTAACCCATTAGTACTCACCACCAAGGCTTTAGACCTGTTACTCAGAAGTTTTTCAATGTCTCTGGCTGCAATTTCCACTAGCTGACGAGGGTTGTTGGCTTCTACAGTATACAAATCCCTGTTTTTCAAATAAATCTGCAAGAAGAAAAAATGGAAATAAATCAAAATGGCAACAGACATTCAAAATAAGCAGTGACTTGACAGAACGGGCATCAAGATGTCCTCTGTTCTTACTGGAGAGCTTCAGAAAGACTATTGCTAGGAAAATCCAAATATGCCTTGTGAAAGAAATACTTCACCTTTTCGTCTGAAAGGTAGAAGGTGCCACTAAAAATCATTTGATAAATCTTCAAAACTGACAGTTTCCAGTGACGGACTATTCAACTGCTAAATGTTCAAGGAATCTGATTCCCATAGAATGCTGAGAGAAAAGTAAAATGGAGATCCTTTAAAATGACTGAAGTTAAAATCAAATAGTTATTGCTGAATTGAATTCTTCCTTGAATGCTGAACAACAAACATACTGTTTGAAGTAAATAATTTAAGTTATGCTAATGTAATCAGTTTAGTCCTTTATCTATTTATTCATATTATAGTATTAGTATTCATGAGGAAAGAAGAGGAAGAGGAAGAAAACAAATAAGAGGAAAAAAGAGAAAAGGAAAAAAAAGGGGAAATGGGCAAAAAAATGAACGGGGAAAAAAGATGGGCGGAAGAGGGGAAAGGAACTATAATCGTGTTTTTCCTCTATCGTGAATAAAGGTGAGGTTTGGTTCCTCTGGTGAGGAACAATTAACTGTTTCCAAAGAAGAACATGTATATAAAGGAGATAATTTGATTTGTTAAACAAAGCCACTACAATGAAATGCACACAACCACAAGAAGTAAAGAAGAAAAAAGTAGCAAGAAATCCATTTGCCTATCTCTGTCCTACCAGAACTGGATAAAGAAAAAATACATTATTTGGGGAAAGAAAAAAAAAAAAAAAACAAGAAAAAAAAAGTGGGTACCTTATGGCTAGATGGGCAAATGGGGAAAACTAATTTATGCAACCAACAGATGGCCTGAGTTTACTCAAGTACTCTGCCTCTCCGCAACGCTGCCTGGTGGGGGCTGTGCTGTCTCCCGGGGAGTAATTCGAGGCACAGGCAGGAACGGGTCCAGCGCTAATGCACTGGCTGCCATCCAGCACAAGAACCGAGAAACTGCAGACCAGACTGAGTCTACCAGCCCTGCCAGGTTTCTCGGGTTAAAGCTATGGAGACCTTAAAGAAACTCACCAAAATATGTCTCTGATGCTTGTAGCTGATGGGTATTTATCACAAATAAGTTTCTGACAACTGCAGTTATAGCTGCAAATTTTTATTGGGCATGCCTCATAAGCTGTCACAGGTTTTCATCACTTCTGAATTTCACAACACTTATGTTGGGGTTTGGGTTTTTTCCTTCAGAAGTACAGTCTTTCCTTTCCACCAGTAACTGAGTAATTGGAATATGCTTTAATTCTTCACATAGTAGCAATTATTTTAAAAAATCAGTGCACCATGAGCAGAAAACCACTACAAAAGAAGATAGTTTCTGATGAACTCAGATTATAGTTTGGATATTTTTGAGGTTTTTGATTTTCAAAATTGCCACACATAAAGTTTATCTCACGTATAACCAAAAATCTCTTTTTTTCCTTTTTTTTTCTTTTTTTTCTTTTTTTTTGTTAGGACAGATCTTAATAGTAGAAATGGTCTATAGGCCAATTATTAATAAAAAAAAAAAAAGAAATTTTATTCTATAACTGATCACTACAGAATTTCTTATATTTTTTCTGTGAAACATTTTTTCTGTGAAATTTGCACAGTCAGCAGTGGGATTTGGAGTTAAATTGACTGTAGTAACAAGAAGAGCCTTACAGTCCTACAGGCAAGGTAAGAGTAGAAATCAGTTTTATAGATCCAAATGGTTTGAATCAAGAATGGAAATTTCAGAGGAGCATATAAATTGGAGTGACCATCAAATCTGGCAAAACTCTCAAGTTTTCCCATCAGCAGCAAATATTCACCCTGATCACATAAGGAACAAGCACTGGAATGTGGGTGTTACCAGGTGTTCGTGTCTTACTTTTTGAAGAGAAATGTAGTGCCAAACTCTTTAAACTTCATTCATGACTGTGTGAAGTACAGCTGCATCAAAAGTTACTAAATTTATAGAAGAATGGTCACAAGATTTTGTAAATAGGCTAGAAAAATGTAAACTAACTTTCACAGAAGTTGTTTAAACCATTCATTTATGTTACTTGTGAAAACGTTTGGTTTGCTTTGTTCAATTTTTTCCTTGTTTCCCTTTTGTTCAATTTGTTCATGCAATTGCTTTTCATTTGCTAATCAACGGTGAAAGGGATAAGAAAATTTAAATATAATCTGTTTTCATTTGGGAGTTTCAATTAGGCAAAAACATCTTAAAATTTGGAGAAAGCAGTAGTTCATTGCAAAAATGCCATTTCATTATAAATAAATTTTTCACTTGATATTATAAACAAACATTAAGAAGGCCACAAGCAAAGAAAATACACAGGAGGGGCACAAGCAAGTATGTGCTCAAACAGTGCAGGTTGGGAACAGATGGGTGATAGGGATGACTTGGAGACTGCGCTGACCAGCTATATGAGGGCGAGCGCTGTAGTGCTGATTCTTTGACATCTTTAAGCACTTGGTGAAATATGGTTTCTAAGGGGCTGTGATCTAACAGCCTCAGCAGAAGTTAAGGTGATGGTGCACTGTATCCACACAACCATGGTTTTGCACCCCACCAACCAGAAACACAATACCAATAATGCACTGGAATTAATCTCTCAATATAGAGCAAAGTTACAGTAAGCCATAGTGGTAAGAGTTCAAGAATCTGGATGGAAAATTTGCACTTTCATCCCTGTATCTAATCCATTCTTATAGCAAACGCATGATCCTATAAACCCAATTTGAAAGCACTCAAATTTTTCACACACTCCATTCCTATAGGGAATTTGTTGCCATACCTCCAAGCTTGAACGGTTTGAAAGCTGCAGACTATCAAAGTCTGGTCTAGTGGGTACATTTGTAGAAAAAAAAAGAAACATTTTCATTTTTCTTCTCCAGCACCAGCTATCAGAATAGTTCAAAAGCCTGAATCGTTTAAGAAGATCACCACCACAAGTGACAGGAGTTCTATTCATACTTCAACTTAAAACCTTTATAACAGGCATTGTGGGTCCTACCACTGAGAAAACCTGACTCTGAGGCTGGCTTCACAAGCCACTATCTGTCAGTGATTAAAAAAATAAATAAATAAACTAACCCCCCCCCCCAAAAAACTTTCAAGTTTTGCACAAGATCCCACATGGAGTTAAGTCAGTGACTCCTTCTCCTCCTCTTCGCTTTACCCCATGTCAGGGCTCACAGCACCTATCTCCCCTGCTTCGACCACCAGTGGAAGATTTATCCCACAAGCTCCCAAACAAAAGGCATCATAAATAACTTGGAACTTCACACACTTCTTTATTTTCCTGAAGCATAAGACCTGTGTCAACTACCAAGGAACAGTGTAAGGAATATTCACTAATTATTTAAGAGGTGCATAAATAATTTATTTGTTGCCTGTTCCCCTTCTCTTTAATTCGGCTGTAGCACTGCAGCAGTTCAGCGCAACAACACACGGGGAAATGATACACGCTTCAGGATTTGGCAGCCTGTGACAAACTTTTCCTTCTCCAAGCCTCCCACCTAGCAGTCAAACACAATTAGCAAAAACTCATCTCAAATAGCCATAAAGGGTCTTATCGGCAAAGGTGTGCTCATTCGTCATTCACAATGCAATTTGGCAGGCTCCGTGGCTTGTTAAGAAGAACTAATCTGAATGCATTTTATTAAATTGTTTTAACCGAGTGAATGCAAGTTTCTGTTGGCTTTTAGGTCTAAAATAATTTTTAGTACTTTAATCATGAATGTTTTGCTAAAAGCTCTCCAAATTGTCAGTAAAACCCTACCATTTCTCACAGAATAAAGGCATGACTAAGTAAAATCTGTAAGGTCATAGCACAAAAAATACTTTTTTTTTTCTCTGAAGTCAATAGCCATGAACTTTTCTATTCAGGCAAAAATGTATTAAAATTGCTTCCTAAATGCCGAATATTTATTCTGGTATAATGAACTGCAAGGTTTTAGGGGAGAGAATATGATGGGAAGAGTCACATTAGTATGAAGCAACACAAGAAGAAGGACAATAGTTAAATGTGGTGAAGAGTAGAAAAACTGCCAGCTCCTTAGCAGAACATGCCCCTCTCCACTCAGTCTTCAAGGATACGTTTATAAATCTCTCACAAAGAGACATTCTCCTTGCTTTCTATAAGACTTGCGAGGCAAAGTCAAACATTTCTGTAAATATTGAGAGAGAATGAAAGATGCGCCTTCATTGCATGGCTCTTGCTACATTGTGGCAGGCATTGGGGCCCACTGAAACATTGAAATTTTATTTAAATGGCCTTCATGCTTTATTGCACTCAGAAAAAGTTCCTGAGAGTAATAAATAATCTGTGCTTTGGATCTGTGGTCTTGGCACTGTTTATATAGTCTACCCAAATAAAAAGGAATAATAATTCATGTTGAATTATTCTAAACTACAGTAGAATTCCTTTGCCTCTTTGTTTGTTAGTTTGTCTGTTGTTTTTTTTGTTTTGTTTTGAAACTGTCAGTCTCCCAATTTAAGAAACAATGGAGCCTTTTCTTCAGGCAGCAGTAACCTTGCTGAGAGCCCAAACATAGGACATGAACATGGCAATCTCAGTTCCATCACTGAATACTTCCATGGACATAGAAGTCATATGAGACAAGATCTTCAGAAGTTCAAACCCAGAATTTCAAAAGTTAACCAAACCTGCTCTATCTTTTCCTACCTTGAAATATGATTTGGAATAGAGAAACAAAATCACTCAACAATTCCAGTAATACCTATCTATACAAGGTAAATATATTGATGTATTTATTATTACAGTACTACTTTCAAGACCACTTAGGTCAGCTAGGCTAATGGGACACCTCTGTCAACAATCAATGCTTTAGAATCAGTCTAGACCAGTCGGAGAATATCATGATGGTAAAACTACTGCTGAA